ATATGAATGAATGGCCAGTCTCTTCGCGAACGAAGAACCGGGGAAGGTCTTTCCACCTCCCAGCCTGCGCATTGGATTTTTTAGGTGAGACACAGTGTGCGCGGAACTGAGCCCACCCTTTAATCCTGAGGTTCATCTGCCGGGGCCAAGCACGCTTGGACGGTGGCAGCGAGGTCCTCAGGACGTAGATGGATTGCCTTACAGGGCTAACGAGCTCCATCTGCCCGGGGAGGGGCCCCGACCGGGAATCGAACCCGGGTCTCTGCAGTGACAGTGCAGTGTATTTTCCCCTGGACCACCGGGGGCTCCCAATATATATATATATCTTACATATATATATAGAAGTAGCTTATTTTGTTTTGAAAGACCAGCAACAATGCCACACAGAAACTACATTTGAACTTGTTTCTGTAGGTGAATTCTTTCAGTAACATGTAGCATAGAAATATAACTACGTCACTGAAAAAAAATTTTGAATTATATTTTTGAGACTATTTTCCAAATACTATTCCAACCCTGGGAACAACTGCAATAAACATGTCACTGAGGTAATAATAAACCACATTTACAGAAAAAAAAAAAAAAAAAACAAGTCTAGTCTGAAACACAAGCTTTCCTGTGCTGCTACACCAATGTCTTGAAAAAAAAAAAATATATTTGAAACAGGAGCAAGACCATCTATGGTTGTTCACCTGAAGGCCTCCTGAGACTGCCAGCAAAAGAAAACATTGTCACTAATGGTGTTATTTGGGCATATGTCTACTGATAATTAAATTCCAATATCCATAAGAAACTGATTTCAGATGGTAAATCACTTGAGCATTACTGACATGACACTGTTTAAAAATGTGACTGAGAGGGTGGATCCTTTCTATTTGAGCTACAGCCTTTAGAAATAATCTAGTGATCAGTCTGAACACTTATCCATTTCAAGACTTTGCATAACTAGCACACTTTCAAAGCATACAGTAAAAAATATGTCTTGTATATAAGTATTAGCAACATTTTTAAATTTGTGGGGTCAGCAACATGCATAAAGCTGCTGGTTACGTATAAATTCAGCATTTTTACAACTGTGGAGAAAAGTGCAACTATTTTCCACATGGGTTTTCAACTTCTGGAAAGCATCTGACAGTATGTGAAGGATACACATGAGATGCATATGCAAATACACTTCGAATTTAAGCATGTGATCAAAAAATTGATGCTATGGCTCACTGCATCTCAAAATAATTACATGTGTATTTAAATGAAATTATATAATGTGCATACAAGGCCCTTTCAACAGCATGAAAAATAACCCAGAGTCTTAACGCAATGAAAGACTTGATTTGCTATGCCAAATGTAGCTACATCACAACTGTAGCACTTTCACACATTTAAGACAGCAATGAACATCAAGGACAAGAAATAGGAAGTGGGGGAAGAAGATTCAAACAGAAAAAAAACACATCAATTAGGCTAGAAATTTCAAGGAACCACAAATTAAAAATAGGACTAAAATAAGAATTAACTCTTTAATTAACCCTGCATTTTCCATTGCACATGCCATCTATTTTTGTCAACATCAGTTGTATAGAATGAAGACTTCATGTTCAAAAGTCTTCAAAAACTTCCTTCTATAACTTCACTAGTAAATAAAAATACAGTGAAGCATTACTAATGAAAACAGTCTTAGCTATTCCTGCAAAAAACCAATTCCCAACAGAGAGCTTTGTTCATAGAGCATGATAGTACAATAGAACTTAACACCAACTACTCCATAAACAGCACTTCCATTCAGACTGTGTCTTTAAAACCAGTAAAAAGCACATACAGGAGGCAGGAAGAGCAGAAACAGATCAACAACATGGAGACTGGGCAATTTTTGTTATAGCAAAAACAGAATTTAACATACCTTTTCAGATTGTAACAACAGTTCTGTTTCAAGAAGCAACACTCGATTCAACAAGTTATTCCAGTCCTTCTCATCTATGATCACCTTTCCTTGCAGTTTCTCCTCTAAAACTTGTAGTTTATCTTCTATCCAATCTAGCTTATGAAGCTTTTCCTGACAATCAGCAAGCTGACTCTTTAAAAACTCAATCTCAGAATTATCTTCTATGACCTGAAAGTATGGATAAGAACATTCAATTTCTAATTTCAAAACATTTATAATTCATCATTTGATCAATCAAACTAAGTGCAATCTTCCTCAAGTCCAGTAACTGCATCCTGCTACACTAGAAACTTTTTTTTCCTTAAGAATTGCCATAATATGTCTACTCATGGAACTCAGCTTTTAAAAGAAACTGTTGACAGAACTGTCTCTTGAAAGGTCAGCACAATTTAACTGACTTCTCTTTTTCCCAATTTTTTCAATATATTTATGTATAAC